CTCTCTGGTCGGCGCGGGCACGCTTACCCCGACAGGCAGGCCCGCGAGAGCTGGCGGGCTGGCGGGCGGACTCCGCGGGAGCGGCGGTTGCGGCCCCTGACCCGGCGCTCTCTTCCCTCTGCCCCGGATCTGTTCCTAGGATCCAGCGGGCCAGTGAGATGGGCGCCCTCGTACCAGAACGGCCTTACGTACCGCCCACCAAACACCCTGGGCTGTGCCCCTCTATCCTCCCGGTCCTCCCAAATTCGCCTGCTCCCTTCGCGTCACTCCCGACGCACGCGCACGCGCGCGCGCACGCTGGGCAAGCCTTCTCCTCCCCTTCGGCGCGGCCCCGCGACAGCCCAACCGCTGAGCTCGCGGGAGCCAGCGCGCAGGCGCAAAATCAAGAAAATGGCGGAGCGGGGTGCCCTCGGAGGACGCGTGCGGAACCCGGCCGCCCTAGGCCTTCGCGAGATTAGTCGCTCTGACTCAATTTAATCTTGATCCCAACTCCTCCATTTTGGTTCTCCATCGCCCCGCACCAGGGAGGGGCGGGGTCTCGAATCAGCCCCTCCTTGGTGGGCGGGGCCTAGATGGACCAAAGGAGGTGGCCCGCCAGACCACATCCCAAATTACAACGCTTACTTCTCCCCTAATTTGAAGGATCTTCAGATCTTTGGTAGGAGCGGATTTTGGGAAAGGTTTGGGGGCCGTGATCCTGACGTTTCACTCTGTATTAGTGGGCTCCCCTGGGCCCCTCAACAAAGGATCTCTACCTGACGGTCTCCTTTCGAGCAAACAATTAGTAGGGGTGGGGCAGCACCCCCAAACCGAGCGCGGTGACGTCCGCCGAGGCCCGCCTTCCTCCTCCCAGCCTATGGGAGCCGGGCGAGCGGCGTTACCATAGCGACGGGCCCACCGGGACTTGCTCTGGTTACAAAGAGCGCGCGGGCTCCCGGGGGAGAAGCTGGGGCGCGCTCTGCGTCACTCGCTTTCCGCGGACCTGGTGGGCGCGGGGCAGGCTCCCCAGGTTTCCACTGCGACAGCGACGGGCCTGGAGGTCCCTGAATCCCCTACAAATCCTGTTTGGAGAGGCGTTTGCCAGCGCCTGGCCCCGGGAGCGGTTAGCGGGGCCGGGATGCCTCGCTGCCTGCGGCCTCCAGCCGGGGAAAGAAGACAAAGCGCTGACATCCCGCCCGCGGCCACCAGCTCCCGGCTCCCGAGAGGAGACGGGGACGCCCAAGCTCACCGTGCTAGTCCTCGAGGCTTTCCCACCGAGTCACTGGGCCTCCCCACTTGTCAACATTTCCCCCTAAGGGAAGCCTCCGAAACCCTACGCCAGTGCATTTCCAAAGCTGGGCGCAGAGCTGGCCTTGAGCTGCAGTTTCCAAGCAGATTTCCAAGCTCTTCTCCAGGGGTGAGCCCCTACCCCAACATCCCCCCCTCCCCGGGGGGGAGAGCACCACAGGCACCTCCTGAACCCTTTCCCCACAGATGAGTGTCGCCTCCTTTTGTACAAAGAGATGTAACTGCCTCACAAGGCGGTTGCATTAATAAATGGAAAAAGTACCCCACGCTGAGGAAAAGGAATGTGTGTTCAGTGAATGTTTCTGGTGGTCTCTGTTACCCCCGAGCCGGTCCAGGTTGGTTAGTTCTGCTGCAGACTTAGCTAGCCGTCGTCCGTCCCGTTGGGCAATTCTGTGATGGGGCAGCCAGGTGGGACACTCCCTTCCCTTGTTCCCAGGCCCTTTCACCCACTGACAGCCAGGCTCAGGGGAGGAGAAGAGCAGCCTTCACAGTCCTCCCTTGGAATTTTGTTTTTTCCTACAGCACTCAGGCCCGGTGTGCACTGAAACAATCAAACGGGAAACATCTCCTCCCCCTCGCACCTTCACCTAGAACATGGTGTTTATTTCTCGGGTTATTGAAGATAAACACACACAGATGGCGTGTATTGCAGGAGGTATTGGGGTCTTTGTTGTAAACAATGAATTTTATGCTGCCCTTATGCTAGTTCAAAATTAGAACAAAATCACTGATTCTCTTTGGGAGAACGGCCCTAAACAAAGGGGCGGGCAGTTGGGGAATAGTTTCACTAGCACAAAGTGATAGATATATTTCTTACTAGGTTGTTTTTGAACTACAAAGTATAGAAAGAAAGGCTTAATCATAATTTCTTAGCTGGGAGAATATAGGTTTTTTTTAAAAAATTGAGAAACCCTAGTTGTATGATAAATGGATCTCCCTAAGACCCAGTCAGGGTGCCATCCTAGGCCAGCTAGGCTTTCTGTTATTCCCAATTCTAAGCAAATCTAACAGGGTGCGTTTCTTAAAGTGTAATGCGTGTGCCAAGATAAGATGTAATAAAAACAGGTTTGAAATATTTTTTAAAAGGGAAATAAGTCCAGGCATACAGTACCATTGTAAATCACCCTCTGAGCCCAAGTCTCAAACACTTAACTATAGTCAGTGGTTCTCAACCTTTCTAATGCCACAACCCTTTACTACAGTTCCTCATGTTGTGGTGACCCCCAACCATAAAATTATTTTCGTTGCTACTTCATAACTATAATTTTGCTACTGTTATGAATCATAATGTAAATATCTGTGTTTTCCTATGGTCTTAGGCGACCCTGCTAGCGGTTCTCAACCTGTGGGTCGCAAAAAACCTTCTTCTGACTTAAAAATTATCAACACATCATCAAACTTCTCCTGACTATAAAGCAAAGGTCGTATTTCATGACTATGCATTTGAGTATTTTTACCTTTTGATTACAACCTGAAAAGCCTTCAGATCTCTGATGAGATCAGTTTATTTGTTTAATCCAGAAATAGATATCAAATATATTTTATTCATATCTCATTTGATTTTCTTTGACATTAAAGTCTACTAAAGTAACACTTCAAAATCTAACAATAATAAGAATACATTCCCCTAATTTCACGGAAAGTAATTAAATAATTTAAGGTCACCCAGCTCCCAGAGATAAGACCAGGTTTTGAATCTTCTCATATGAGATTAGGTGTTTATCCAGTGTTGTTTATGGGCCATTTGATCGGGGCAGAACCCCAGGCTGACACTGGAGGATACACTGGTAAATGAAACAGACATGGTTCCTGGCCTGTGCAACTTAACATTTGGTGCCAGGGACTGACAATGAGCAAGTAAATAAGCATTGAGTAATAAGCAAAAGGATGATGAGAAACTCTGAGAACTATCATGAAGGAAACTAATAGGGTAAAGTGACAGAATAACTGGAATGGGGAAAGAAGAGGGAATGACTTAGGTCAAAGAAGGCCTCTCTGGAAAGGTGCATTTAGGCAAAGATTAGGACAGGAACAGTGAGAAAGGAGGGCATGAGGAATGGGAGCAGTAAATCTCAGGCGGAGGAAAATGAGTTTTATGTGTAAGAGGAGGCCAGGGCAGCTTCAGAGAGGTGAAGCAAAGGCAAAGTAATTCAAGGTGAGGCCGGAGAGGAAAACAAAGATCCTAGGTGAGCCAAGGTATGGGAAGCTTTAGAGTTACACTCTTCAAAGGGCACTGGGAAACCAGAAGGATTTTCCAGACCCGATTTACGTTTTGAAAGATTACGTTGACTCTTACGGACAGAGAATGGAGTAAAGGCAAAAACATTTAACTTTTTTTAAAATTACTCTGAATTTAATTTTTAAGAAAGAAGCCTCTCCCATATATGATAAATGTTGCCTATGGAAATATTAAGTAACAATTTTGGTAATTTTACTAGGTGATTCTGGTTGAGAATTAATTAACTACATTCTTTTTTTAAAATTATTATTAACTAGAGGCCTGGTGCATGAAAATTCATTCATTGGAGAGGAGGGTCCCTCAGCCCAGTCTGCCCCTCTCACAGTCTGGGAACCCTCAGAGGCGGAAGGTGACCCGGCAATCAGGGGAAGGCGATGCCCCATCACACCTCTGCTGCTGCCACTGCCAGCTGCAAAAGCCTCAGTTGGCCCTGGTTACCTGAGCCTCGGGCGGCCCTGGGCTGCTGGGCAGCCATCATCCGAAGCTTGCCTGCGCCTCGGGCTGGCCCTGGACAGTTGGGCAGCTGACATCTAAGGCTAGCCTGTCCCTCAGGTGTGGGCTGGGCAGCTGGGGGGGCTAAGGGGACTGGGAGCTGCCATCTTGTGGCTGTGGGTGCCGCCATCTTTGCAACGGTGTGAGGGTCAATTAGCATATTTTCTCTTTATTAGATAGGATTAGATAGGATTTCCAAGAGGAAGGGACAGGGCGGGAGAGAGAGAAACGTCAATGATGAGAGAGAATCATTGATCAGCTACCTCTTGCACACCCCCACCCCCAACTGGGGATCGAGCTTGAGTGGAATCAAGCGTGGGGCCCTTCAGCCTGCAGGCTGTCACTCTATCCAGCGAGGGCAGTCAGCAAACTCGTTAGTCAACAAAGCCAAATATCAACAGTACAATGATTGAAATTTCTTTTGAGAGCCAGATTTTTTTAAACTTAAACTATATAGGTAGGTCCATTGTTATTAACTTAATTAGGGAACTCCTAAGCTGGCCTGTGCTAAAAACTCAAGGGGCCAAAGAACCGCATGTGGCTCTTGTTCCGCAGTTTGCCGACGACTGCACTAGTATAAGCACATGCACCTCTTCTCCCTTGCCTGCCCTCCCCAGCAATAAAAGCAATTAAAAAAGAGAGAATGAGCTTTTCTGGTCCACAGAACCTATTTATCTACTTGGACTGCCTGCCTTCTGCTTTCCACATCTCTCACGGAAACTGCTTCCTATGGGACAGCAACAATTTCTTAAGTTGAGGAAGATGAAGGAAGTTTTTAAAAAGAAAACAAAAGCCCAAAGTTTGGCCAAGTGCCCTCTTTCAAGCTCCTGCCTGGATCTCCCCTGGGCTTTAAGTAGATGTTCTTGGCAGCAAGGGCATTTTTTGTCTCTAGTCCACACAGACCCAGACTTTTTTCTCTCGTCACGTGCCTGGTTCAGGCCAGTGAGTGGGCTGCTGTGTAACTTGATCCCCAAGGCCAGCCTCCTGACCCACTCCAGTGACAACACAGGGTTAGGCGACTGCGGCTGCCTGGACAAGGGCTGAAGGGGAAGAGAAAGCAGCCCTGAGCTGTGGCCGGACATTGGAGGAGCTGGGAAGCAGCCCACAGCAGAGGTGAGTGGGAACTGCGGGGGAGGGAAGCTCTTTGCCAAAGTCAAGCCCAGTCCAAGTTCATTTAAAGAAAAGGCAAGCCTATCCTAGCCGGTATTGCGCAGTGGATAGAGTGCTGGACTGCAGATTGATGGGTCCCAAGTTTGATGCCAGTCAAGTGTGCCCGCGTCGCAGGCTTAACCCCCCAGAAGGGGCATGCAGGAGGCAGCCAATCAATGAGTCTCATCATTGATGTTTCTATCTCTCTCCCTTTCCCTTCCTCTCTGAAACCAATAAAGAGTATATTAAATAAAAAATAAAAAAAGAAGGAAAAGGCAAACCCTAGGCGGTGTGGCTCAGTTGATTAGAGCATGGTCCCATACACCAAAAAGGTCGCATATTCGGTTCCTAGTTAGGGCATATAACTAGGTTTCGGGTTCCATCCCTGTCGGGGTATGTAGGGAAGGCAACCAATTGATAGCAACGCTACCTCTCTCATATCAATGTTTTTTTCTCTCTCTGTTCCCCTCTATAAAGATCAATAAAAACATATACTCAAGTGAGAATTTTGTTAAAAAAAGGCAAAATACAGTCTCACGTCTGGCACCTCCTTGTCCTCTCCACTCAAGGTCTGTGTCTGAACAATGTCCCAGAATGTTTTCTTCCCTCCTTCCTTATTCATATTTAAATAATTTTTAAATGATTGAGGTAAGAGTGGTTTATAACAACATTATACTTCAACATCTGTATGTGCTGCATCATGCTCACCTCAAAAGACAAGCTTCCACCGTGCATTTGACGCCCTTTCCGTTTTGCCCTCCCTCCACCTCCTTCCCCTCGGGTAACCACCATCTGCTGTCTGTCTCTGTAAGTGTGCTTTTTGTTTATTTTGTTGTTGTTTGCTCATTTGGTTTTGTTTTTATATCCCACATATGAGTGAAATCATATGGTGTTTGTCTTTTTCTATCTTACTTCTTTTACTTAGTATAATACTTTTTTAAGGTCCATCCAGTGTCATAAATGGCAAGATTTCACTTTTTTATGGCTGAGTAATAGTATATAGACCACACTTTGCTTATCTTTAGTTGTCGATGGGCACTTAAGTTATTTACATTATCTTTCACAAAAAATTTTAATTTATTGATTTGAGAGAGAGAGAGAGAGAGAGAGAGAGAGAGAGAGAGAGAGAGAGGAAGTAGAAAGAGAAACATCGATGTGTTGTTCCACTTACTTCATTGGTTGATTCTTGTATGTGCCCTGACCGGGGATCGAACTCACAACCTTGGTGTATGGAGACAACACTAACCAACTGAGCTACCCAGCCAGGGCTACTATTAATAGTATTTCCATATCATTACTACTGTAAATAATGCTGCAATGAACATAAGTGTGCAAATATCGTTTCAAATTAGTATTTCATATTCTCCAGATAAATACACAGATAAGAAATAGCTGGGTCATATGGTAATTTGAGGAGTCTTCATATTTTTTCCATAGTGGCTGCACTAATTTACAGTCCCAGCAGCAGTGTACAAGGGTTCTCTGTTCTCTGCCAACATTTGTTATTTCTTGTCTTTTGATGATAGCCATTCCAACAGGTGTGAGGTGATTCTTACTGTGGTTTTGATTTACATTTTCCTAATAATGATATCGAACATCTTTTCATGTGCCCATTGGCTATCTGTATGTCTTTTTTGCAAAAGTGCCTATTTAGATTCTTTGCCCATTTTTAAAAAAACATATTTTATTGATTTTTTACAGAGAGGAAGAGAGAGGGAAAGAGAGTTAGAAACATTGATGAGAGAGAAACAATCAGCTGCCTCCTGCACACTCGCTACTGGGGATGTGCCCGCAACAAAGGTACATGCCCATGACTGGAATCAAACCTGGATCCCTTGAGTCCACAGCCGATGCTCTATCCATTGAGCCAAACCGGTTAGGGCCCCTTGCCCATTTTTTGAAATATATTTTTATTGATTTCAGAGAAGAAGGAAGAGGGAGAGATAGAAACATCAATGATGAGAATCATTGATTGGCTGCCTCCTGCATACTCCCTACTGGGGATAGAGCCCGAAACCCAGGCATGTGCCCTTGATTGGAATCAAACCCAGGACCCTTCAGTCCACAAGCTGACACTCAATCCACTGAGCTAGACGAGCTGGGGCTCATTGCCCATATTTTTGACTGTTTGTTTGTTGTTGTTGGGGGTTTTTTTTGAGATTTTTGAATTCATTATATATTTTTATATTAACTGCTTATCAGATATATGATTTGCAAGTATCTTTTCCCATTCGGTAGGCTGCCTTTTCATTTTGTTGATGGTTTCCTTTGCTGTACAAACGCTTTTTAGTTTGATGTAGTCCCATTTGTTTATTTTTGCTTTTGTTTCCCTTGCCATTGGAATTAAATCCACAAAAACATGACTAAGTGATGTCCAGAAACTTAGCATCTGTTTTCGTCCCTGTGTTTTATGGTTTGAGGTTTGACATTCAAGGCTGTAATCCATTTTTAGTTCATTGAAAGTCAGTCATCTAGTTTCATTCTTCTGCATGTGACTGCTAGGACATTTTCTTAGTTCTAATGTCTATGTCCTCTGCCTTTACATGTACCATCTACCTCTTCTGTAGTCTTGTTTTGGCAGCAACTGACAGGTAATTCTGTCATATGGGTTTGGTTTTGGCTTTTAAATCATGTTTAGGGAAAACTCCCAAGTCAGCACTCAAAAGAGGAAAATCTAATTAGAAGAGAGTGGCGAAAAGCAACTGTGATTGAATTGTTCCTGACCTGCAAGGGACGGGGCCAATGACAACATTCTTTTTTTTTTTTTTTTTTTTTTAATATATTTTATTGATTTTGTACAGAGAGTAAGGGAGAGAGAGAGAGTTAGAAACATCGTAAGGGAGAGAGAGAGAGTTAGAAACATCGATGAGAGAGAGTCATCGATCAGCTGCCTCTTGCACACCCCCTACTGGGGATGTGCCCGCAACCAAGGTACATGCCCTTGACCGGAATCGAACCCGGGACCTTTCAGTCCACAAGCCGACGCTCTATCCACTGAGCCAAACCGGTTTCGGCCGATGACAACATTCTTAAAATGTAAAAGCCATACTGACATGAGGACTGTTTTGATGCACCATACGGAAATTTACCAACAATGCCTTGGTTTTAGAATTGCTGGTGGCCTGATAGGATTACGGCAGGTGCTACCGGTCTATGCTCTTCCAAAAACACACGCAGCCAGGCAAAGTGTTCAGGAAGCCTAGCTTTTGCCAGAAACTGTGTGGAGTCAGAACAAGTCCGTTCTGTTATCTAGGCTTAACAAAGGTGACCGATGGAGGGGATATGTCAGTGTATAGGTGGGAGTGAACAGCAGGCCCGGGATTTGGGGGTTCTCTCCCAGGCTTTTGGGGCTTGGCAAGCAAGACAAGATAGACAAGATGCCAGCCTGTGGGCTGCCTCAGTGTCATGTGCAGTTCCAACCAAACACCTCTGGTTGGGATAGGAAGGTTCAGTTCGGTTTGGTAAAACAGAAATGCTCCGAGCAGCAACTTCTAACCTTAGGAAGGAAAATCATTCGTACAGGGAAAGGTTCAGAGATGCTCCATAGCAAATGTTGGACACGTTCTGAGTGCAAAGAAAACAATACTTTTTACTCATTTCTCCTTCTTTTATTTATTCAACAACCACTTCCTGGATACATGCTACATGCCAGGCCTGTGTTGGTGCTGTGGATACAGTAAACAAGCTGGGCAGGCCTTCAGCCTCCTGGGCACGCAGTGGTCCGGCAGTAATGGCTAAAGCTGTCAGAAGGAGTTGTTTTTGCCTCAGAGTTTGACCTTTCCCTTCATGCATTTCATCACCTTGAATGAATATCTTTTTCCTTAAAAGCCTCGCATAGGCCCAAACCATGGTTAGAGCAGCTCCCGAAAACCCTCTTCACCAGAGGCTTTAAGCAGCGTAATCGCGTATCAGATTAGTCTCAGCCCCGGAAGCCCACTGCTGGGCTTGTTCTAAGAATGCAAACAGCCTGAGATAATGCCAGGACTCCCAGTCCTCAATGTCATTTCCCTCTGTTGAAACACAATTTGTGCTATTGCAAAAGCACATGAAGCACTAGGCAAAGTGTGAGGAGCCCTGCATTTTGCCAGAAACTGTGACGCCCGGAACTGGTCAGTTCTGCTGTGTGGGCCTAGCTCCTTAGCCATAGAAAGGTGGTCCACAGGTCTTTTTTCTCTCTGTGTTTCCTCTAAATAACGGTAATAACGTCACAAGATGTATACAAGGAGCCTTGCACATTCATAAAGATATAACCAATCTTAATACCTACGAAAGGGGAACATTTATTAATCATGCAGAAGATCAGCAACCTAGGATCTGAAAGAATAAAGGATACAGACAGACAAAACTAAACTCTCTCTGCTTCTCCCACCTTCGTCCCCTGCCTGTGCCGTGTTCAGATCGCTGAGATCATGGGCATCAGTTGCAGCCGCACTGTGTCATTTATCTAGATTGGGGGATTCTGCAGTAAGAAGCTTGCACCATCAGAATCATCTGCTTTTGAAACAACCACACTAAAAAGTACCCAATTTGGGTAATCTCACAATACATATCAAATTCCCTTTAAAGGGGAATCAATTCATTGTTATAAAGTATCAGAATATTTATTTCTTAGTGCATTTCATTTCTTTATCTTCCCTGAATGAATTCTCATTATAAATCCTATTTCATAATCTCCTCGATATACTTTATCACTTGGAAAATCAAAGTTACGTACATAGTGTTTCTTTATTAAGCAAGGCACGAGGCACGCCTTCTTTATCCTCCTATCTCCTGTGCCTAGCATTGTATCTGGCACACATGAATGATTCTTAAAAGGATGATTAATATTTCAGAGAAACATGTCCTGTTTTCCCTTTGGTATTAAAGACACATAATATCTAATACACTATTCATGGCTAATAGGGGCTGATCTCATTCCTTTGTGTCCCTTTAAAATCCTGATACCTACCCCACATTCACTCACA